GGGCTCTAAGCAGAAGAGCATGATGAGTTATTCTCGTTGGTGCAGTGCCAAGAGGGATCTGCATCAGTGAAAACGTTGGCGAAGGTTTGTTGTGCGTCAAAAACCCATGCCACCACCACAAGCATTGCCTGCAAAAATGTTTGAAATTTTAATTAAGATACTGAAATTTCACACACAAAAAAACCATTAATCGTTTTTTTTTATTACTACCAACCCATTTATGTGCCTAATTAATCAATTTATTAAGGGAAGTCATATGAGTTAATTGAATTTATTCTCTCTCAGAAGAACAACCTTTAGTAATTGGCGAAAATAATTGTGATGAAGTAAAGATTATTGGAAAACACGAAAAAGGAAAAGGGTTAATTTTGGGGGAGGAAAAGAAAACCCTGAAGTTAATTTGTAATTCTGCACATAACCCCTGAACATTTTTATCATGCTAAATCTCCTTGAATTTTGGCGTGTCTCACAAAACCCTCTTGTATTTTATATTTTCTCACTAATCCATTACTTGTTATTGGCAAATTACTAAATATCTCTGAGACAAAAAATTTCAATTTAATTAAGTATGTATTAGTTATAGGTAACATACCCCTCCCTCTCTCTCAGCAGGTTTGATATTGTTGATTGAGAAAGTGAGGAAGGAGCGGGTCTCGGTGCATGTTAGCATGCGATTCTTGCAGCTAACTTGCGCCCCTGCTTAGATTTCCATGGCCAAGAAGAAGAAGAGGAGTGGAAGGAAGTTACTCAATATTGGTTTGAGATCTTCTAGTCCCAATTCGCTGCACTCTGAGGATCAATTTGATACAAGTTTGGATGGGGATGATGATGGATCCAGTTTTATGGGATCGACTGGTCCAAAGGGAGAAAAGATGAAGAAATCTCTGGATGAAATACTGAAATCTTCTGATTTCATGATAAATCCGCAACAATCTCTGCATCCAACTCAGATTAATGGAGTTCAAGCTAGGCATCTCTATAGTTCTCAAATCTCTGGAAATGGTGCTAACAAACCCCCTAGGGTTTCCTGGGCCGAAGAGGTGGAATTTGAGGTAACTTCTTCAGATTTTCCTCTGATCCAAGGTTCTTCTTCAAAGTCTAGACTTAATGCTTCAGTTTCTGAGATTTCAAAAACTTCGGATACTGTTACATTGATTTCTGATGTGAGGAATACTGTAGAAGTCAGATCTGTTGATACTAATGAGGAAAATGTTCTCACTAAGGACCATCAACCTGATTCTGGTTTTAATGAATCTGATGAATAGATGACAAGATGAAGATAATTTGTTGCTTATAAACCCAATGTTTATCACTATTTACTTTAAAACCCGCATAGTTCTATATGTTCTCATACATCCAAAATTCAAAAAGTTTACTTACCTCTAGTATGAAAGTATATGACACTAAGTGTACAACTAAATACAATAGGTACTGATTCCAGTTGAGCTCCAGAGGCAGGGCCTTGGTTTTTTTGATCTAGACCCTTAATGTTGAAGCCATGGAGTATTGATACTGATATAGAAAAATTCCAGGACTTCTCCTATCCAATGTGGGTCCAATTTCCAAGATTAAAGCTCAATCTCTGGAGCTCAACTGGAATCAGTAAAATTGCTAGCCTAATTGGGAAGCCTATTACTACTGATAAGCTCACGGCTACTAGACAGAGGTTGAGTTATGCTAGAGTTTTAATAGAGGTGAAACTCCCTTTTAAAGAGCCTTTGCCAGATTCTTTGAAGATAGAAGGACCTGATGGAAAAAGTTATATGCAACAAGTCTTTTATGAATTTAAGCCTAAGTGGTGTTCTACATGCTGTATGGTTGGACATGATACTGAACAGTGCAGGAAAAACAAAACTAAGAAAATGTGGGTTCCTGTTAACAGGCAAACTGATAAAGCTGCTGATGGTAATGTTGAACATGTACCTAACCCTGGGCCTAATAAGGTGTCATTGCATGAGAATGTTATTACTTCTTTTCCTGGTTCTATGGATCATGTTATTAGTTCATCTAATCAGGAAGCAAAATCTGTTGAGAAACATGCACAGAATGGAAAACATGCACAAGAAGATTCTGCACAGACAAGTCGGGACTGTAGGGGTAATTTTGGTTTGAGTCAAAGGGATACCACCCATTAGTTCATCTAATCAGGAAGCAAAATCTGTTGAGAAACATGCACAGAATGGAAAACATGCACAAGAAGATTCTGCACAGACAAGTCGGGACTGTAGGGGTAATTTTGGTTTGAGTCAAAGGGATACCACCCCAATCTCTAACCAGTATATGCAAATGAATGATCATGCCTTATTCTCATCCCCAATAGCTTCTGGCTTTCAACTGATCAGTCCAACTGTAAATGCATCAGGGTTTACAAATGTGAACAGAAACAACATAGCAAGGAGAGTAAATATTACTGCACCAGTTACTTCAGGTACTCTTCCATCTCTCTTCTCTCCCCTAGAGCAGCAAATTTCTGATCCATCCTGTGCAGACAGAGGTGGGAAATCTCATTGATGCATCTTGCTATCTGGAACATTAGGGGATTCAATAAATCCTCTAAACATACAATAGTCAAGCATTTTATTCAGGAATATAATCTCTCTTTATTAGCTCTTTTGGAAACTAAGCTCTCTGAAACAAAACTGCAAGGTCTAGCAAATAAAATTACCAAAAGCTGGAAATGGGTCTCTAATGTACAAGAAGCTGGAAGTGGAAGAATATGGATTCTCTGGGACAATGATATTTTGACAATTCAAAATGTTATTTTCTCAGAACAATGTATTACATGCACTATTGAATCCAGAGATGGAAGGTTTTTCAGTCTATGCACTATTGTATATGCCTCAAACCATTTGGCCAGCAGGAAAATTCTATGGAGGGATTTACTTACCTTAAAGCAAGGTGTTAACAGTCCATGGATTATTGGTGGAGACTTCAATGCTATAGCAAGTTGTGAAGAGAAAATTGGAGGTTTGCCAGTTATAGAATCTGACACAGAGGATTTTCAAAACTTTATTAATGCTGGTCAGCTGTTGCATTTAAGATCTACTGGCTGTTACTATACTTGGTGTAACAAACAGGAAGCTGATAGCAGAATCTGGTCTAGACTGGATAGGTGCTTGGTGAATGAGGACTGGATCCACTCATACACCTCAAGTCAGGTGGAATATCTCATTCCAAATTGCTCTGACCACTCTCCAGCTTTAATTACCATTGAAGATGATATTTCTGAGGGGAAAAGACCATTTAAGTTCTTCAATATGTGGGTGAAACACCCTGATTTTATCTCAACAGTTCATTCTATATGGGATCAAAGCAGTGAAGGCTACAATATGTTCAGATTTCATACTAAGCTCAAAAAGCTTAAACATGCCCTTAAAGAGCTAAATAAAAATCATTTCATGAATATAAGTGAGCAAGTATGTAGAGCAAAGGAAGAGTTAGCAGATATTCAAAAGCAATTAAATGATGATCTTTTCAACTCAGTTTTGATTGCAAAGGAAAAAGAATGCATCAAGAAATATGACAGATTAATTGACTGTGAATCTTCTTATTTTAAGCAGAAAGCTAACATTAACTGGAGCTTGCAAGGAGATAAGGGATCAAGATTCTTTCATTCTATTATGAAGAAGAAAAGGCACCTTAACAGAATTCTGACTCTATACACTGACAATGGGTCTAGAATCACTGACAGATCTGAAATTATTGCAGAAATCATCAATTATTACAAAAAGATTCTGGGTACTTCTGTTCCTACTGCAACCCCTGATCCAGAAGTGATAGCAAATGGTCCTCTTCTCTCTTCTGAACAGAGGCAAATGCTCAGTCTTCCAGTTGCTAGAGAGGAAATTAAACAAGCAGTATTTTCTATGTCTAATGACAAAAGTCCTGGTCCAGATGGTTTCAGTGCTCTCTTCTTCAAGGCATCTTGGAACATTATTAAAGATGACCTTTATGCAGCTGTGGAGGAATTCTTTAGCTCTGGGAAATTGCTTGGTTCTATCAACTCCACCTCCATCACATTGATCCCAAAAATCCTTAATCCTCAGTATGCTGCAGATTACAGGCCAATATCATGCTGCAATTGTATCTACAAGATCATCACAAAAATCATTGCATCCAGAATTCAAAAGGTCATGGGATTCTTGGTAAGTGAAGCTCAGAGTTCTTTTGTCAAAGGTAGATTAATTTCTAGCAATATTCTTCTAGCTCATGAAATAGTCAAGCACTATGGTAGAAAGCACATCTCCCCTAGAGCTGTTCTGAATATTGACCTTAGAAAAGCATTTGATACCATTAATTGGGGTTTTATAAGAGCTATGTTGAAAGGATTAGGATTCCCTGATATTATGATCTCCTGGATTATGGAATGCATCTCCACTCCCAGGTTTTCAGTATCCATTAATGGTGTTCTTCATGGCTACTTTCAAGGAGCTAGAGGGTTAAGACAAGGTGACCCCATTTCTCCATATTTGTTTGTTATTGGGATGGAATACTTGTCTCGCAAGCTAAACACCCTTAAGAATGATAGATTGTTTAAATTTCATCCCAAGTGTTCAAGATTGAAGCTGTCACATTTAATATTTGCGGATGATCTCCTCTTGTTTAGTAAAGCAGATATGTACTCTATCACAAGATTGAGGGACTGCCTAATGGAGTTTAGTCAGGTCTCTGGTTTGAATCCTAATCCCTCTAAGTGCTCAATCATTATGAGTGGAGTTGAAGATGGCCTAAAAAACCAGATATGCAGCTGTCTTAATTTTTCAGAGGGGATGTTGCCTATTAAATATCTGGGGATGCCACTTATCTCAAAAAGGCTTTCATGTCTTGATTGCTCTCCTCTCATCAACAAGATATCTGATCAGTTTCAAAACTGGCAAAATACTAGAACTTTGTCCTATGCTGGGAGATTGCAAATGATAAAATCTGTCATCTTGGGTATTCAAATTTTCTGGACAAGTAACTTCATACTCCCTGTTAAGGTGCTTGAAAGAATTGACAGCATGTGTTCTAGTTTCCTTTGGGGTCACAAAATCCACTTAGTATCTTGGAGCTCTGTTTGTCAGGACATAAAGCATGGTGGCTTGGGTTTATTTTCAGCTAAGTTCTGGAATTATGCAACAGCAGCTAAGCTTCTTTGGATGATACATCTTAAAAAGGATATTCTGTGGATTAAGTGGGTGCACGGCACATATCTGAGACAAACTAGTATCTGGCAGATACAGTCTAAAAATTGTGACTCATGGATGTGGAAACAGCTTCTAAAAGCTAGAAACATGATAAGGGATAAGATGGGAAGTGTTGATAATCTCCTGAATGCAATTAATAGCTGCTGTGTTAATAATAATATCAACATTTCATCAATCTACAGGGTGCTTTTCAGCAGTAGCCTGCTTTGTATGAAGGATCAGGGACTGTTTGGGGGGGTGGCATTACCCCAAACATTCATTTATTCTGTGGCTAACTTCCCTCTCCAGATTACTCACACAAGAGAGGCTATGCAAAATGAGTGTGTTAAGCTCTAACCAGTGCATATTGTGCTCGAGAGATGGCCAAGTAGAAACCTGTCAGCATATCTTCTTTGATTGTCAATATTCTGCATATATTTGGAGGAAAGTAATGGAATGGCTGAAGTTCAACTGGCAATCATGTAGTTGGAACCAGATTTTTGATTGGTACAATAGGAATTTGAGGGGTAAAGGCTTCAAAAAGAAATTGAAAAGAATTGCACTGTCAGTATCTGTCTATCTGCTTTGGCAAGAGAGAAATCTAAGGCTTTTTCAGCATAAAGCCAGAGGGCCTGATCAGCTATTCCATGCGGTGAAGTTGTGTATATACACGAAGATTTTAAATGAGAATATACCACATCATATGAAAGATTACATAGAGGATTTGTAAATGAGTGTTGACTGGATTCATATAACCAGTCTCTAGGCTTCTTGTAATTGGATGTGCGCATTCATTTCTACATTTGGTGATGAATAAAGTTTTCGTTCATTGACCAAAAAAAAAAAACATACCCCTCTCAAATGGGGATCTTTGCCATCAAAATCATTTTAATTGTCAGTTATAGGTAGGAGGTCAGGTGAGAAAATTGTAAAGTTTAACCAAAGGTTTTGTGAGAGGACTACATGAGATAAAATTCAGTGAGTTTAATTATGTGCAAAACCTTCCCATTAATTCTTTACTACAGTGCAATCTGTAGAGAAGAGTTTGTATTACTAATGGTTATTTTGTGAATTCGCTGAGCATACAGTATCTGGTATATTCTTTAGGCAGCAATTAAAAGCCTGCTCCGATTAATAGGAGAGGAAATGAACCGAATTATTAACTAATAGTTTGTTAATTATTCCAGATATTTATTCAGTTATATTTGATTTAGTAGTTTATTTAACATTAAATAAATAATTTTAGTACTTGAACTAATAAAACAAATAGAATTAACCATGTATTATTGGCCGATTGTGAATACAAGTCTTGTGGTTCTACTGTTGAAGACTTCTGAATTTATTTTGATTGCTTTACCCTGAAAAAAGAACATGGCAAATATATCTCTTGAGTATAAAATAGTCAAAAAATTCATTCAGGGAGCTATCTGGAGTAGAGTACTGTTTTTATCAGAACCATCCATATGCGATCGGGCGGTTCTGACCATGTGCAAAACATGGGGCAATTCAGTAATCCCCCTCCCATGCCAACCCCCCCCCTCAAAGAAAAGGAGTTGGCGGCAAGAACTGCAAACGGTGTATGTGTAATTGGGTGATAGTACAAGGGGTCTATCTGCAATTAATCTTATTTTTATTTATGTTGTAGGTAAGCTAATGTGAAAACAACGAAGGAATTGTGAAAAATATGAAGAAAAACTCAAAACAGACTCCACCACACCCTGGTGTGGTGTCTGCCATGGGTGTGGCAGAATCTGCCCTGTCTGCCACACCCTGGTGTGGTGTCTGTCACACCCTGGTGTGGCAGAATCTGCCCTATCTGCCATGGGTGTGGTGTGTGCCACACCAGGGTGTGGCAGACTAGTTTTTAGAATCCTAATCTATTTGGGATTGTATTTTGTTATAAATAGAACCTCGTTTTTTAGGGTTTCTTAAGGAGAGAAAAGGAGAGAATTAGCATTGTTTTGAGCACTTTGAGAGGGAGATATTGTGAGGGAGTTGAGAGCTTTGGTTAGGGTTATATTTGAGTGATTTTGTGAGTTGTAACCCGTTGTATTTCTCCTCCATATAGTAAAATATCCCCATCCTCTCCCCGTGGACGTAGGCAATTGCCGAACCACGTAAATTCCTGTGTTTGTTTGTGATTTTGGTCATTATTTTGTGAATTGCACTCGTGTTTGGTTTTGGTTTTCTTCTCTCATCGCTCACCGACTCGTTCGGTTGTTGAGCACGCTTCCGCACGTCGCGCAAAAAGTGGTATCAAAGTTCAGATTTTAGATCTAGGGTTTTGGATTAGGTGGAGGAAGATTCAGTTGGAAGCTTGGTTCTTGGAGTTCTAGGCTTTGGTGGAGTTAGGGTTTGAAGTTACCGTTGAAGATCTCGCTTTCCTCGTGTGGTTAGGAGTTCTATTTGGAATTCAATCTAGGGTTCAGTTGGGTAACTTCTAAATTCTATAAAGTTTGAATCTTTCTTTGTAATTTGGAGTTTGTGATTAAGGGTGAAGAAGTTGGTGAAAGCAGCAAGATGACGGGTATAGTTCAAGTGGGTTTTCAGAACACTAAGATTAGTGTATTGAAATATGACGGCAAAATCAATTTTAGTTTGTGGATGAGCGACGTACAGGATACGCTCAATGCTAAAAATTTGGAGGAGACCATCATGGTCGATGTGAGGCTACCTAAATATGAAGAGGCGGTATAGGAAAAGATGAATAGGAACGCTTGTGGGGTGATCAGGTCCTGTTTGGAATAGGAGCTGAAATATGATGTGATTGGGGTGACGTCTGCGATGAAGATGTGGAAAATTCTCAACAATAAGTATTTTACGAAGAGTGTTGAGAACAGGTTACATTTGCTGCGTAGGTTATTCAGATTCCAGATGTCCCGAGGCACCTCGCTTGCGGCTCATGTGAACAACTACACTAAGTTGTTGTCGGACTTGGCGAACGTTGATGAGAAGATCACGGATGAGTACAAGGCTATTATTCTTTTGGGTTCCTTACCGGATGAGGACTATGATACCTTCGTGCTTACTTTGCTGAACGGGAGATCTTCTATCACTTATAGTGAAGTGACTAACACATTGACGAACTACGATTTGAGGAGGAAGGATAAGGAGGCTTCCCGCGCTAGTACTTCAAGAGAGGCCTTGTCGACGAGAGGTAGAAGCTCATATCAGAAAGGTGGAAATAGATGGAGGTCAAAGTCAAGAGGTCGTCACCAGCTTGGAAAGAACTAATATGCATTCTGCAAGGAGCAAGGACATTGGAAGAGAGACTGCCCAAAGGTCAAAGAAAAGGAGAATAGCAAGAATAAGGGCCCGAAGGCCAATAAGGTGAATGTTGCGAAAGACGATGATTCCGATGATTCGAGCTTTTCTCTTTTGATTACTCCGGAGGTGAACCATTTGGATACATCAGATTGAATGCTTGATTCTGGCGCTACTTATCATGTGACTCCTAGACGAGATTGGTTTTTATCATTTGAGAGACTCGACGGGGATGTTGTCGTCATGGAAAATGATCAAGCCTGTGACATTTGTGGGATAGGTACTGTAAGGATTCGGATGCACGATGGAGTAGTCTGTGAGTTGAAGGAGGTGAGATTCGTTCCTCAACTAAAGAAGAATCTTATCTCAGTTGGATCTTTGGAGGCTAAGGGATTTAGGGTGACCTTTGAGAACGCTGTAGCGAAGGTTACTAAGGGATCTTTAGTGATGATGAAGGGAGTCCGCAGTCAAAATTTATACTATCTGAAGGGGAGCACCGAGATTGGCCAGGTTACTTCGACTACTTCAGAGGCGGACATGAGTAGGCTTTGACATTACAGGTTAGGACACACATGAGAGAAGTCACTGTAGGCTTTGTGCAAGCAGGGGCTATTGAAGGGAGCCAAGAATGGTAAAGTGGAATTCTGTGAGCACTGTGTTCTTGGCAAGAAGACGAAGGTGAAATTCGGGACGGCCATTCATAGGACGAGGGGCATCTTGGACTACGTGCATACAGATGTTTGGGGTCTCATCAAGACTACATCACTTGGTGGTCGACATTAGTTCATCACGTTTGTTGATGACTATTCTAGGCGTTGTTGGGTTTATACCATGACAAAGAAGAGTGAAGTCCTAGATATATTTGTGGAGTGGAAGAAGAGATTGGAACTGCAGACTGAAAGAAAGATCAAGACGTTGTGATCCGATAACGGCGGCGAGTATACTTCAGATCCCTTTTAGCAGCTATGTCGAGACGAGGGCATAGAGAGGCACTTCACAGTTAGTTATACACCGCAGCAGAATGGGGTGACAGAGAGGTTAAATCAGTCTTTGCTAGAGAAGATTCAATGTTTATTAGCGCATAGTAGTTTGGAGAAGATCTTTTAGGCTGAGACACTTTCATATACGAGCCACCTCATTAATACACTGCCTTCATCTACGATTGAGGGGAAGACCCCTATGAAGATGTGGTCGGGAGAGACAGCACATGACTATGACCAGCTCAAGGTATTTAGTTGCCCTGCATATTATCATGTTAGAACTGATAAGTTGGAACCTCGAGCTAGGAAGGCCATATTTGTAGGATTCAAACGTGATGTCAAGGGATACAAGCTTTGGGATCCAGTTGATAAGAAGATTGTGCTGAGTAGGGATGTCATATTCGATGAGGCTTCTATCTTGAAGCTTCTCAGCTCTCATCAAGTGGAGAGCGACCTGACAAAGGAGATATCGCAGGTGGTGGAGATTGATGCAGCTCCACAGTGTCCAGATGGTGCAGTATCCATTAGATTGCCGACTAAGGTGACGCCAGGAGAGCACGACGGTGATGCGGAATATACGGGTATTCATGTGCAGGATCAGGGACTGACGGCTCAGGTTCAGGATTCTATTGTGGTTCGGAGACAGAGGAGAGACATACGGGTGCCAGCACGGTATGCCGACACAGTTGCATATGCACTTCCAGTGGAGAGTGTCGATGAGATGATATCTACTACTTTCAGAGAGGCCGAGCAGAGTTCAGAGGCTGATTCGTGGCAGGTAGCTATGCAGGAGGAGATTGGGTCTCTTCATAAGAACGATACATGAGAGCTTGTTGAGCTTCCAAAGGGGTGGAAGGCGATTGGGTGCAAGTGGGTATACACGAAGAAGGAGGGTATTGAGGGCACTCCATTGAGGTTCAAAGCTAGGTTGGTTGCGAAGGGCTATGCACAGGAGGAAGGTATTGACTATAATGAGGTTTTCTCTCCGGTGGTGAAGCATTCTT